TTGATCTCAAAAAAATATGATGTACATAAGTTGAACTTGCATCAAACAAACAACTAACATAAATACCTCCGGCAGTTAAATTAACAATATATTAAACTACTAGGATAAAAGATACAAATTAGGTGAGACAGTTCATCAGAAGAATGAAAAACATAGGAATGAGTAGGGTACCTGGGCTGCAGCAACTACATAACACTGATTCTCAATAGCTCTGGCTCGAATCAACGTATGCCAATGACCAGCTTCTCCTGTATGAGTAGTATAAGCAGATGGATAACTCAGAACATGAGCATTCTTAGCATATCGAAGATGAGACGCTAGTTCAGGGAATCGCATGTCATAACACTAGGAAGAAATCGATTTATAATTAGGATATCTATATTACTTGAAAAGAACTTTTTAAATATTAATTATTAATTAAGCGTAAACTCTAAAAGGAATAGTGAAATACACATCTGACAAAAAACTTGTAACAAAAACTCAACCATACATTCGCGCAGGCACTTAAATTTCAACTGCTGAATTACAAGGCCAGAATCCGCCCCATCCATAAACATACGAACAACTGAGAGTCACTATTATCAAGCTTCATATGATAGATGTTTTAGCCTACTGCATGATTCTGAAAGTAACTGTCAAATTACATAAAAGGCATTGGTATCTTCATAAAATGGAATCGGTAAGAGTTGAAAGCTCAGTATAAAATATCTTTAAGCGAAACCAGATAAGCAGCTTTGAATATAGCAAATAGACGTACAATGAATTATGAGAAGCGTGTACCATGTCTGTCATCCGATATATTTCAGTCATACTGAAGATAACTCTCGTGTGGTGCTAATATCAATTCTTAAACCTTTGTCAAAAACAGATCTTGGAGAGCCAGTAAGTTTGGAAGACGCTAAATTACTCCTCAAAGCATCATATTTTCCTATCTCATTGGAACTGAACAGGCACATAATTCACTATTGAAAAGCCAGCTTGGGAAATCCTTGAGATTTTATGTTGATTTTTACCTTTAAAGATGGAAGCTGAGCGATGCAAACTTTATTGCCACCTAACTTGTCTGAGATTCAACAGGCTGGTGGTGTTAACACTCGAAAGGTCAGTCAAACTACCAGTGTCACTAATAATTAGTTCCAGAATATTAGTATACCACATTGGATGGCTTTTACTGGATGAATTGAGTCATAAACTTATCCAGTCATATTAACCTACATTAATTCTGTAAAAGATATTTTTACACTATTTATTTTTCCTCCTGACCCCATCTATAATCTTAAATATTGGCTATGAAATTATTCTAGACTTGTAAAGGAACTGAGGATTTTTCTGCAAACTAGGTGGTCTTCACCAGGCGAATAACCAAGAGTAATACACATTTAGGAATATTTTTTATCCTGGGATTCCAATGGAAAAGTAACGTATACTATTATGTGTGGATGTTCTGTTACTATCTGATTTTGGACAAATTTAACATGACACCAGTAAAAATGTGTCAGATATAGACAAAATAATTAGTTACATACAATAGCTAGTCCCAAATTTCCAACAGGGGTGTTTTGGATTACGATTGGAGCCTCGGTACCAGCACATATTGCTTTCGACTCAAAAAACGATGATCGTGTACATGTTGACTACAAAAACAAAATTTTTAATCGACAAGTTTAATTGTAAATAATCGACAAATTATGAGTCAATTAAGCGATAATGTAATAACGAACAAAATACACGAGACGATGCTGAACCAATGGTCTATCAGGTAAATTTGTATTATAGTAAAATAGCTATGCACTGTGACTAGCGGATACATTGACTTAGGTGATGCTAATTCAATAGTAAAAGAAAAAATATAGAGTGTATGATAACTATTTTCGTACATTCATGAGCTACACTGTATCCGGTTAACAGTGCATGTTCTATTACAAACCTCTACAGGCAAGTTTATGGAAAAAAAATAGTTGCTGAATAATCTGCTAAAGGCTTTTCATATTACTGGGTAGATCAAACGTATGTCAAATATCTCATAGTCACCCTATAAAGTCAGATTAGCTTCCTATAACGGACATAAAATTTGGGCTATCAATTTAATTTACTGACAACAAAAAACGACTTAGAGAAACATTAAAAGGAATTACACACGGCTGAACCTTACCAGAACTAAATACTTTATTTATCTATTTATTTATTTGAACAAAAATATTGGTAAAGAGGCACGAAATACATATGCACCACACAAGTCACTTGATTTGTGTGTAGGTTGTGATACTGCCAGAGTGCCCAGACCGAAGCAGGTGGGTTTCTTAGGGGTCACACCCCGAGCCTTTGACCTAAAGATCTAATCCATAAGGCAGTGGGGCGACGTAGTTGCCGGTGACCAACAATTAGCTCATACGCCATTCGTCCCCTGAGGACACTGGAGGGCATGTGCACCATCGGTTTGGAATGAGGGCTTTCCAACTCCCCTAAGTGGATCATCCGTATCCACCAACCCGGTTAAAGCGCCGGATATTCGCGTTTCGTTTTCTCAATCTCGTAAACAACAGTAATATCAAGAGAAGGCAGCAAATAAGACTTCCCTGTAATTGGTTGTGTGCTCGTGGCCATGTAAGAGCATTTCGAGAGGGAGAGCTAACTCTCTTCACCCTCGGCCGCACCAGGACATTTGGGAGACTAAATACTCTAAAGTACTAAACGATAGTGCACCGTCAATTATCGTATGATAGTATGACGACAATCTGTCTACCTCAGTCTTAGTACGTGCGTAAAAATGACCTGATTTAAGCTACCGACCTATTGATTAGAAATGAAGCGTTTTTAAACTATTGATTTTCAGTACAACATAAAACAATAGATAAGATTAATTATGGAAAACTGAACGAAATTAACTTCTGTATTGGGTGTAGTTTCGTTTTCACTTAAATTGGCATCGAATAAATGGACTTTATGATAAACTCCCACTATTTGACCATCTGAATTAATAACTATGTGAGAATTGAACAACTGATCGCCGTTCTCTGTGATCTAGATAATTTGGAAACAAAAAAGAACATGGAATTAATGGTTATATTTCCAAAAAATTTAATATTATTAGGGGGATTAACAAGTAGCCAAAAATATAGTAAAAAAAAAACAAGACAATGTAGCTACTATTAATCGCGAGTATTTACACTGTGGCTGAAAACAAACGTGTTCTGACGGTAGTTCAGTCAACTTACAAATTTTAGGATTAGTCAATTAAAGTTCTTTTGTACACTGCTAAAAGCAGTCTTCTCAGAAATACTTTAAGATGCATGGTCTTTTATCCTTTTTGGACTGCTAGTCGTCACAAACCATTTCAGTCAAGTTAAATGAGCAGGGTTACATATAGCATAGGAAGAAAACAAAACTTAATTCTCAATAAATGGAAACGACTCACGTTCATATGACCCATACGTGCCTGCATACATGAAACATAAGTTACATGACACTGACGAACACTAGTCTTCACTCGTAGAAAAGTGCAATAAAAAACAGGATAAAACCCACACATCTCGTTTCTTAACAGTGAAGGGGCCTCCTAAGCTTGAGTTAAACTTAAGTGATATGATCCAAAAACTGGTTGAAGCATCGCAGATGCACTTACCCCACAATCCCTCAAAATTATTGAGCATTTACTACTCTATGCCCGTACACACTAAACTGGTTAGAACGCAAGACATTCGTCTTTCATCCTCTTAATTTCGTAAACAACACCCTTGCCGCAAGAAGGCAGTGAGTAAGACTTTCCTGGCCGTGGCTGCATATATGTGGCCATATGAGGGCATTTGGAGAGGATGTTTAATTCACTGTACCCTCGCCCGTACCGGGGCAGTGGGGGTCGTAACATGCATTAACTTCATACAAAGAGAATATAGAGGTGCCAAACCATTGCAAGATAATTTAGTCACTCGAAAGATTTCATATTGCTTACCCTTATATGAGCACCACCGAGACTAATCCAAAGGCTTTCTCGAGAAGCCAAGTCACAGTATTTTGTTATCAAAGGTCCGTCTAACACTTCTGAAAGATCAAGCGTTTCCTCACGTGACCGTCCAACGAAATCAAAACATTCGGGGAGAAAAACGATCTGAATCGCTATTAATGATAAGATGTTCGATATTTAAACTCACCTTGACTCCCGATGCTTTGGCCTGGTTAATATACGTAACCGCCTGTTCGAAGTTCCGTTCCTTGTTTGCTGTTGATTGCATTTGAACTATACCAACTTTTGTTGTCATGTTTCGCAGCAGTGTTATTCTCGAAGAGTTGGCAGCGCAGACAACACCCACAATTGGTTTCAGCGGAGTAAATCGCATAAGGTGAACATCCAACGCGCCCTTCAGTGTCCAATATTTTTGTGATAAACCGGGGTAAACCAAACTAAAATCCAATATTCCTGTGACGATATTTTATGAATCGAGTAACTTCTTTGTAAGGATGCCACAAGTATTCAGAGTTTGACAACGGCTTAACTATTAGCACCTGTATAAGCGAAATATACTAACTTGGTCATATCAGGAGGCAAAAGTGAAGACGTTCAAAATTACATTCGATAGAATACAGATATAACGAGAAGTGATCAATCTAATCTGGCTTTTAGTTGAATGAGATGTGAAGCACGGCGTACCCACTCGTGATCTGGTACGGATGCGTGACCCAGAACCTTCCGTTAGGTGAGTCCAGTAAAACTGATGCCATCGGCATCAAACATCGAAGACTCACAGAACTAATTATTTTGGGGATTTATTTACCGCTACATATGCAAGGAGGGCACAGTGTGCCAGCACAACAGTTTATATTTTTATTATTAAGTCACCCTGTTATAGTGAAAAGGGGAAAGCTTACTTACGAAATAGTCCCATGAACCACTACTTCATGAAGATATAGTTTTCCAATGTCTCTTACCAAAATTCCCATTTCTGTCCTCAAGTCTGCTTGTCGTACTAATCCGTGCATACTAGGTACTACTCTTTGCATGAGACCTAAAGACCACTTATCTCTCTCTAAGAAATCAGAACACATCACTACTAATTCACTTATTATACCTCCCTCTAACTGAGTCCATCTGCATCTGCATTGTAACAAGGAAATATATTCTTTGGACGACCACTTTCAGAATATTCGTACCAAACAATTCGCTTGTTTCCACCCTTAAGAATCTCTTTTTCAATACAGTATCACAGAATCCCCTGACATTCTCTTTAAACAATGACAGCTAAGGCAGTGTTATAGTCTCGAGATCATCGGAGCCGTCCATAGTAGGAATCAGGGGCCGATCGGTAAAAATACTTCACGTCACTATCACTAAACTTCATTTACCAATAGACTTGATACCTCACAAATAGAGAGAATCATGTGCTCCTAGATTCCTCGCCAGTGACTAGCAGTCGGAGTATTGAAAGGCCAACCGATAACCTTTCTGAGCAAGTCTCCGTGTATACACTCTCGTGCTCAATCCTAGAGACACTTCTTTGATTGACTTCCAGCTTCCACCGAATAAGGTCTATTATTACGATATATCTGTCTTGGATAGACTCTTTTCCGAGTACTATGCCTTGAACAAATAGAATCCATTATGAACAATAGCATATCAATCACTTTAAAAAATACTCTATAATCCATAAAAATTCATACGAGTTAACGTAAATATGAACATATAATTTCGAATCAGGTCTTAAACCACCAGTGCCGTTATTTACCGAGAACTTTTCAGATTTATTCTGAACTATTATTTTATTAAAACACATTACTAGGCTATACTCAAGAGCATAGTACGAACTTTTCATCCCCAGCGTTGAGATCAATAATGATATTAGCTGGATCACTATACATTTTACAGAACAGTTCATAACCCTAAGCCGCTCGAACGTATCATAACAAAAACCAAAGTTTTAAGACCTTCACAGTCCATAACGAATAATAGTATAGACTGCATATAGACTAATAATGCGATATTCCCTATATACTTAGCTGATAAATGCTCCTTCTGAATCTGATAATACAATAAGTCATGTAGACTCTGTGAAACCGAAATCCACCGACATAGGCTCACTGATTTCCATAATGTTGTATTTGGCGTCGAGTCGAGGTTGACTATAATCACCACCACAGATTGACTACGTGTCAGTTACCAGGTTAGACCTATCCATAGGCCAAATATCAGACGGTGGAAGGCTGTAGTTAAGATGTATTTGTTGGCGATCTCGTGGTATCGAAATAATAACGAGATAGTGCCAAAATCTACAAGCGAGACTACTGAACGTATGAGAGCTCGTGCGAGGTCACATCACATGATTCTAGCTATGTGCTCGCATATTCTAACTAAATTCCATAGTAAAATACCATTAATATAACCAGCAATATTCTCATACTTATCAACATATTTGTCTATACCAAAGTTAATTGCATGATTAAATCCTTAAAGTTCAAAGCCTTCACTATTCATCAACGTATCATTCTTCATGCAATCAAGGAAGCTCCTGAATTCCTTAATAAGTGATGCACAGTTGTTTTTTCCCTGTTCTAAATCATTATGCAATCATGTCCCCCTTAACTCTTAGGTAGATGAATAACCACACCGCATATGTTCACACATACTTGTGAATTCATAGAAGAACGACCATTTAAGTCACTAGAAGAACAGAAAGCCCTTTCATTCATAATCGGTGGTCAATAATTCGAATAGTTTACATCGTTCCCTGGTAGTAATGTCATTTGTTAGTCCGATATCTGAATCCAGTTAAATCAAACCACACATGCTTCTAAACTTCGTATATTCCTAATTGATTTAATTTGAGTTAGAGACAAACAATCAGAGAAATGGAACGAAACGAAATGATGCTCAGAAGAGAAGGCGAGTGAGTCAGTTTGTCTTGATTGAGAGTGACCTAGTATTTATGTTCAGACAAAAATAATTTACTGACGGGTGAGGAATTGGGTAAGCAATTAGCAGACATGTGATCATATAAAAACAATTGGAGTTAATAAGCGAACATCCAAGAGAGTCAAAACGTTATTCGGGGTGAATGAATAAATTGGCCTGTCCAGAAGCTAGCATATATTATGTAGGCTTGAAAAAGTACCAGCCACTACGGTCACATATACACCATGTTAGCATGAATTCTCTTGTCGTAAACACAGATGAAGAACTAATAAGTTTTAATGTGAGGTTCTTTACGTGATACATTAACACCGAAATAACCTCATCCATTGTCAACCGAATCTCTTAAACTCTTTTCTAAGTAGTCTCAACGTTGTAACAACCTTTAAATAAGGTGAGCCATGTTTATGAATGCAGTCATCAAGAGACTCAAATCAAAATGACAATGTCACTTCTGCTTCAACTTGATCTTTTAGAGAAATCACAATTTAATCGGAAATCGATTCTGTAGTTATGTAGCTAAATGTCTAAAATCACCATTAACAGATAGTTCAGGTTCTAATTTCATTTCGGCCACATAACTATCATCCACCGATCCAAAGTGACCACTAAACATTTCTTATGCTCTCATGTCTTCGAAAAAATATTCTTTAAGTATCCGAATTAATGTGCTAACTATGAATCCAGGGAATAACTAAACTTAAGACTGACAGAACTGGACGAGCACAACTGGAAGTAAAACATTTAGAATCCATAATAAGCTCCCAATCAGCTAGTACAAATAACACAGAAGCTCATTAAAATCCTTTTAATCACGATTGTACAATCATTCTAGATCATGTGCAACATAGTGCGTTGGAAAACAATGCAGCTACGCGAATTGATGTACTGGTCCAATTTTTCATTTGCGACCCACAATCACTCAATTGAGATGCGTACGCACACCAAACAAAAGTTTTCTATCTCCCAGACTTTCTTCAGAAATATAGTATGCATCTTGAGCATCACATTAAATCAATAATCTAACCCGATTGCGTCGCAACCACAGAAGAGTTATATACTTCAAATGCTTCCACTATTCCAACTGCTGTTCAGTTGGATCTACGTCACCAATTGGTGATTCTTCAACCATGTAATCTGTAATAATGTATATATACGGTCATAACAACAAACATACGCTACATACTGGTAGAGTACTTCTCCCTTTCCAATATCAAGCTTGCTTTCAGGCATTCAGTAATGCATCCAACTCGTCTAATAATGTTATATGACATATTCCAAATAACGAACCTTCTGCAATAGATCGCAGTATTTCTAACTTGATCCCATGTTGTCAAGTATCTGGATTTGATAAACCTTTTGGCAACATCACTGGTATCCACTACTACCAAAAACTCAGTGCTAGCTAGACTCCTTGATAGGACAGTGTTACCCATAATATTGAAGAATCTAACAAACCGGTAGTCGTTCTCTATCACTGCTCTCGATAACATCGTAAGTGACAATTACGAACAAGCATCCAGAGTTAGACAATTTCAGGCGGCAGCAACATTTATTCGAGCTAAAAAACTAACTCTGGTATCCAATACCTACCAAATAATACTCAAAACAAACCGGACTAACATCTTATCACATAAAGCAAGCGAGATTGCCTGAAGAAATACAGTCTTGAGTGGTAGCATCAAAACCCGAGAAAACATAACACTATCAGAAGAATTAGCACCAGCACTTAGAACATTAAGTAAGTTGAGGAATTTCTGCATGTTGAAACATTAAAATCCACAGCCACACCAAGAAAACCGAGGAAGAACACATAGAATGTGGCAAACCAACCGCCACTGCTTACAAAGATGGCGGAAATGACAATTCCCATTTCATTCTGATTGTTCGCTGGGTAAACTGCCAAAATTATAAAGCGGAATTTAGTTTAATTACAGTCGTTGAGAACTGAACTTCGTGATTGGTTGATTGTTAGGATAATTATTCCAGATTTAGAGGCAGAAATAGTGCAAAAGCCAAAAGTTCATTTCAAGAGTTTAAAATAACATAAGTTAACTATGTAACGGTTAATCAGCTTGATTTTCAGTCAGTGAAAATTTTCAATAGTTTTCTCAGCCGTCGTGACGAACTGCATATACACTGTCACTCAAGCTTGCGTGTGTTAGGTGATTCAACAAAGAATCGCAAAGCTGGTTACAGAGATAAGCACAGATGTGGTAAATGTTTACCCTGTGGTAAATTTCACGTGCGTAACTCATGTGTCTTTTTTCATGCTAAATGCTTTAAGCGCGGTAAAATGGGACACATCATGTTGGACTGTTGAACTACCGTTAATTTCACCGCAAGTAATAATAAAAT